CACATCCCGCATGTTGGTGAACCCCGAAATCCATAACCCTTGGCCAATCGATTATCTCCTCTTGAATTATTGCTTGCTTTGATTTTATTTCTCTCATTTAATTTTCTGCAACTTTGAAAACCACCAAAGACAATTCTCCAACTTTATTTTTACCATTTTCCTAGTTTTAGTCGATTCCTAGCTTAACCGCTTAAGTCCTTGTGTTCGACCCCGGTACTACGACATCCGTATACTTGCGGATTAGTTGTGTTTCGGGTTACAAATTTAAGACTCGTCACGCAAGTGATCAACGATTTCTGAATACAAATTCAATATCGTGATTCTCGCATGCTTAGCATATACCCATACATGCGAATACGGTCCCGACACCCCCGGTCATCTTAGATTGCTAGCCTACTCGTCTTTATTGCTTTATTTCCTTATTTTCTATTCTTTCCATATACTTCCACCATCACTTCTACTCGCTTGCTTTGATTTAGTTTCGTTTAGGATTTAGATTTAGCAACCGGTCCTTGTGTTCGACCCCGTGTTACGATGATCCGTATCCTTGCGGTGAGTTGTGAATCGGGTTATAGATTTTAGACTCGATACACACGTATCAACGTGTAGAGGGCAAGGTATTCTTCCTGCCTACAGTGATCAGACGCGTTCTTCGATTGATACAGGCCCCGGATCGATTGAGGTAAGCGTTCTAACGTTTCTACAAGATCATGCATGATAGGTTTTAGGGTTTCATCAAAATTTTTGTTTTTCATCCGCTGCGCAAACTCTAGAACTGATCTCTTAGGAATTAGATTCGCTCTAGAGATCCCAGGAAAACCCAACAATCTGGTTATCGACAAGCTTCAAGTGGGCGTCGGTCTCTTGTTGATGTTCACGCATCTTGGTGCGAATAGCTTCTTGACCCTGCATAAGCTGTGCGAACATAGACTTAAGATCGAGGTCAAATCTACTTGTTGTAAAGACGGAGACAGAGCGTAATTTTGCTGAGATTGAAGAGGTGTTGGGTAGTGTTGAATGGCCTGATTCTGATGTTGTAGGGGATCTCGGGGTCGAGGTTGATGTCCTTGAGAAAGACCCTGATTAGCCGAACCACCAAAATTTCTGTGGGAAGTATTCAAGACGTTGGAAGAATTCTTGTACGAGAAGTTTGGATGATTCTTCCACCCCGGATTGTACACATTCGAGTACAGGTTGTTATCTACGTAGTAGACATTTTCAATCATGTACCCGTTGGCTGATGTGTCTAAGTCTGAGATCTGATGAGCATTCTCAACCTGCATTTTACGTTTTCCCAATTCTGCACGTAATGCCTGAATTTCAGATAGACTTTCCTTACCTGCACGACTGTCTTTGAGGCTAACGTTTCTGATAAACTCGTGAGAGAGAGCACACTCGTTGACCATCTTGTTGATCTGTTGCTCTATGAAGTCGAATGACTTTTCGTTGAGGCTTCCTCCACATGCTACTCGAATAAGAACCCGAGTGTCCTCCTTTAATCCCTGCAATAAAGTGGAAATAAGGTACCTTTTATCCCATCCATGGTGAGGACATGTTCTCTGGTATCCTTGAAAGCGATCCCAAGCTTTCCGTAAGGATTCATCAGGTTCCTGCAAAAATGAGTTAATCTGTTGTTTCGCGAGCTGAGTCTTGCTAGCGGGGAAGAACCGCGGCATGAACTTCTCTTGCATCTGTTCCCATGAGAATATGGAATCTGGAGATAGTGTGTAGAGCCATTCTAGAGTAGTATCCATTAAGGAGAATGGAAAGGCCATGAGCATGAGAGACTCATCGGTAACTCCGCGGACTGTCCTCACCGACTGGCATAGTAGCTTGAATCGAGTCAAGTGAGGGATTGGGTCTTCATTAGGTTTGCCCCTGAAAGCCGATGAGCTCAACATATGGATGAATGCCGGTTGAAACTCAAAATTGTTACGGTCGATGTTAGGCCGGCGAATGCATGAAAGCTGCTGAATGTACTTAGGCTGAAGGTATGCCCCATAAGTGTCATTGTTGTTCTCAGCAACTATAGCACGTTCCTCCATCTTTCTTTGCTGTCGTTTCTTCTTTCAATTGCGCTTAGAGGACTTCTCGATTTCAGAGTGAAGAGGTACTAGGTTGTCAGGCCCAGAACTCCTGGTCATACACCGGAAACCTGCACACCAGAAAGTAGAACAAACACAAAGAATAGATCAAGAAATCGAGGGAAAAGAAAAAGAAAAGAAAAGAAAAAAAATCTAGATTCAAAGGAATCTTTATCCAAACGCTTAACTACTCCCCGGCAACGGCGCCAAAGACTTGATAACGCAGATCTAGATATAGAAATAATGCTCAAGTGATAAAAACCTAGATACAACGAATACCGCAAGGATACGGATCAACTGTAGTACCAGGGTCAAACACAGAGAATAGTTAACTCTAGGAACAAGACTCAACTAAGAATTAGATCAGGAAATATGGAACGAAGTATGTGAATATCGAAAATAAAACAATAAACTAACTAAGTAAAATCAAATAGATAAACCACCGTAGCTTCGGGATAACCTTAATGCGCAGA